CCCCCCCCCCCCCAGAGAGAGAGAATTATCCCGCCCCTGTGCAGGCCCCGATACCACAGCTCCTGCAACAAAACAGCTTTTCACGCCCAAACGCCCAGAGGAGGACGGCACCATAATAAATAACACTGCAGCTCAGAGGACGAGCGTCTCCAGCCGTGTCCCCGCTGCCAGAGAGGTGGGGACGGATCCAACCTCTACAGGCTCGGTTGTAGCTCCTCATCTTTATCTCTGCTCTCCTGCTGCTCAGGAGCCTGTCACCTCTCCAGAGTTAAAAGCCCGACACAGACTCACAATGAGGAGGTGGCTGCGGCTCAGAGCGAGCGGAGGCCGAGGGTCAGCCGACTGAAAACAAAGCTTGGCTCGGCTCGGGACGCCTGGCTCCGTCCTCGCTGGCCCGTTCCCTCGGGTCAGGGGGCACAGCGGTGGGGATGGAGGCTGATCAGGAGCTGGCTGTGAGGAGGTAGTGGTCTTCATCAGAGCCTGGCTCTGCTCCACCTCTGCCCCGAGTCCTGAAATCTGATCCTCTGCTCTTCAGCCAACATAATACATCCCATAATAACATCATGTGACTTCACTCGATTAAAATACTAAGGAACCCGTTGTTCCGTCGTTTACAGATTGTCCCCTCACATGTTTTCTTTCTGTGTCGTTGGGTTTGTTCATCACGCTGCAGCCGCAGGTTCAAACTTTGTCAAGTGAGATTCTATTAACGACAAATAAACTGAACCAGCTCTGATGAACTTTATTATCAAACCTGTATATTAACAGATCATGTAACATGTCACATGTTACATGTCCACATAGTTTTGACCATGTGCTGCCACAGACTGAACTTTAGGAAAATGAAGAAAACATCAGATTTCAATTCAGTAAAATATTCAATATTAAAAGAATCATTTTGATCCTCATGTGTTTCACATGTTTGATTAAAACATGAGGCTCCTCAGATGGTTGAAATATTCACATGAGCATATTTTCATAATCACGTTATATCGTGTGCGATTCAGACAAACATGTTCTCGTGCTGGTGACTTCATTAAATCCAAACTGTGACATGTCTGAGAGGAAACAGAAAATATGTCGAGCGTTAATGTTAAACAATTCGTGGCTGCAGGCGCGGACCTGCTCTAAAATATTTAAATTGAATCTGGAACAGAGCCACGGGTGCTTGTTTTCAAATCCTGTCTCTGCCCCGCAGGTTTGTGGGAGTTACCATCGTCTTCCAGCTGCAGGTCAGATATTTTCCAAAATGTCCAAGTGGATGTAAATGGGACATATTTGAGCAGTTAGAGGCAGCGAGGCTCGATCCCGGCTCCAGGGCTCCATGTGCATGTGAGAGTCATCAGTCTTCGCCTGCTCCACCTGCTCGCTGGGGACGACAGTATGGAGGCCGTCCCTGATTAGCGCCCGATGCTAAATGCTGTGACAGAGGGGCCCGTTCAGGGGACAAGGGGGGGGGTCCTGCCAGGCGACAGGACTGATTAGTGTCGATTAATGGTTGTTAATATCATCGGGGACTTTTCCCCGTGTCACCAGAGAACACACACTCATTAATAAGTGCTTCCAATTACCGTCATTAGCCCGAGTTTGTCCTCTTCTAAACACTTCAGTTTGTTTCTGTGACAGAATCGTCCCCGAGCAGCACGAGGACAAAACCAACGCTTCAGACGAGTTGTGAGAAACTTCAGAGAATCTCACTGATGGAAACCGTCATGGGTCACACCCACTCATCTTTGAAGTGACCTCGTATCACTGGCTCCTCGTTTGGTGTGAACTCACCGTACAAGACGCTCAGAAGCTCCATGTGCGATGTCTCCAGCGTCAGTCAGATTTGTCCTGGGCTCGCTCCGTGTCGTCAGACCTCAGGGTTCCTCAGAGTCTTTGTTCTCTCAGCCCCCTGTTGCTCCTTTAAGTTGACAGCTGTGGGTAATAAGTGTTTAAATGAGATAATTAACGAGGCTGTCAAACCAACACAGTGGGCTCTATTAGAGCCGAGAGCGTCCCTCCTCCTCCTCCTGTTAACACTGATCCTCACACTCTGTCTCACCGACTCGTGACATGAAGCAGTTCAAACTGGAACTGGCTCTGAGCTGCAGGTCCGAACAGGAAGTGAGTGAGAGAAACGAGCTGGAGCTTCATCAGAACGTTCAGTGAGAGGTTACCAGTGAAATTATGAATCTGAACGTCCACTGAGTCTCAACTTACAGTTTATTATAATGTAAATGAAATGTTTTACATCCATGAAGAATAAAGTGAAATACTTCATCTACTCTCTGAAAGTGTAACGTGTCATCATCTTATAACAGAAACATTAAAGCACTAGAACCACTCGTAGTGATACTGCAGTATTCAGGTTTAAATCACGTGTACTTAGAAACACAGTTTTCTGGACCTGGCGTCTGAGCTCTTCATTTTTCTTCTTGTGTGGTTTGTGCTCTCGCTGCAGCAGCGGGGCAGCAGAGATGCTACAGAGCCTCCTGTGGTCCCCTGCTGGGACGGACTTGGACGAGGACGCAGCCTTTGGTCACGATTCCAAATGTTTCCATTGATGAAAAAGAAACGTGTTGGGCTCCGTTCCCACAAGAAGATTCTGGTCCATGAGACGCAGCTGGAGCCAGAACTCAATCAGGCTGGGGGGGGGGGGGGGCTCTGCTGGCAGGAGAGCGGCTCGTGTTGTGAAAATGATGGAGAGCGTCGATGATGATGATGAAGATGATGATGAAGATGATGAAGAAAAATAGAGTCTTTACATCAAAATCATGTGTTTAAGTCACTCAGAGGATCCGAGGTCACGTAGAAACTACACTGAACAAAGTGATGGAAGACAACGAGACACAAAGACAATGGAACGTCCTCATTGTGTCCTCGGAGGTGAAGACTGCAGCTGCTTCCTCTTCTTCTGTTTCTTCTGTTTCTTCTTCTACCCATCGTTTTCCCACGACATCATTCAGCCTTTCAACTGGGACAACTTTTAAGACAGAGGTCGTCACTGTCTCAAACTGGTTCCTGAAGACATCTGTCCCTGAAGACTCCATTGTTTAGTGTTTATGCTAAGCTAGGCTAACCTGGTCCTGACTCCATGTGGTCCGTCATGAATAAAAACTGCTTCATTCAGCGTCTCAGTGTGAAACCGACCAGCAGCAGCTTGTGATGTTTGTGTTATTGTGTGTTGAAGCTCATCAGGTTAAAATGTCTTTATAAGACGTGAGGAGTGTGTGTGTGTGTGTGTGTGTGTCCTGCTGTGAGAGGACACTGGGATTCAGCCGCAGAGTCGGACTCTCACTGTCTCACTGGGACTGACTGATGTGTCCATTATGTGTCCACAGAGACACAGTCATCTTCTCCTGCGGGTCCCAGTCAATGAGAGGTGATGGGAAGATGGCCGACCCTTCGCCCCGAGTACAGGGGGTGGTGTGTGTGTGTGTGTGTGTGTGTGTATGTGTGTGTGTGTGTGTGTGTTAGTGACGTCCAGTGGCTTCAGAAATATTCCATCAGCATCACTGACGACATCTCACCGTTATAGATCATTTTAATTTTACCTTGTGTGCAGCTTTGATTGATTATAATATATTATTGATTTTATTTGATTATATTATTGATTATCTGACACAAACAAAAATCCAAGAGAAACCTGTTTAAGTGAAAATGTTTTATTTCCAACATGGTTACAACTTGTAACGAGACCAAGAGTTTCTCTGAGGAAAATCCAGAAGCTTCGTTCTGAACAGGAACTGAACATATTTTAATATGTTTGAAATATTTTTATTTTATCTTCTTAAAGTTGGTTTTGATCGTTCAGAGTCAGAGTCAGGAAACTGAAACACGGCAGTTCATGAATGTTTGAATGTTTGTGAGCTCACACACATGCGTGTCTTCATCTGTCCACGCGTGTCCATATGTTCCAGGTCTGTGTGTGTGTGTGTGTGTGTGTGTGTGTGTGTGTGTGTGTGT